TATATATAATTATTATATTATTATTTATATTTATATATATAAATAATATAAAATTAATTATATTTATATATAATATTTAAATATATAAATAAAATATTTTAATATTTATTAATATATATAAATAAATAAAATATAATTTTAATTATATAATAAAATAATTTAATAAAATAAAATTAAAATATAAATAAATTTTATTTTATTTATATATTTAATATTTAATATTATTTTAATATATAAATATAAAATAACTTATTATATTTATATATTAAAATTTATTATTAATTTATTATAAAATATAAAATATAATTAATTAAAAAGTTTTTAAATATTTTTAAAAATAAAAATTAAAAATATTTAAACTTTTATATATAAATATAATTATTTTATTTTTATTTATATATATAAATAATATAAAACCTTTTATAATTATATATTAAAAATATTTTATATTTATTTATTATTTTAAATTAAATTAATATATAAATAAAATTAATTTAAAATACTTTATATATATAAATAAATATATAAATAATAAAATAATAATAATATTTATATATATAAATATATTAATTATATTTATATTTATATATAAAATTAAAATTAAATATTTAAAATATTTTTATTATTTTAATATATATAAATATATTAATAATATTTTTATTTATATATAAATTAAAATACATTATTTTAAATATATAAATAAAAAAGATATTAATATATTTATATATATAAATAAATAAAGTTGTATTTTAATTATATATTTAAAGTAAAAATATAAATAAAATTGAAATTAATGAATTTATATATATAAATAGAATGTATGTATTTTTATTTATACATGGAATTAAAATGAAATTATCTTAAAGGGTTTTTTGACTTGATCACCCATTCCTCCACACAGCTCACTACCCAGCCACACATCCAACCAACTACCTACCAACGTACCCTCTTACACACAACCCTTTTACATACGATGGCAATCATCAAACACCTCTACGACAGCATCTGTTCAACAGATGCTGTTGTAAGCATCATTGAACGGCTCTGGGACCAGGCAAAGGACGACCCTGACCGCGGCCTGATGTTTGTGCTGGAGACTGCGGCCGAGGTAGCAATGATGCACCACGAGCTGACAGTGGTCCGGGAATCCGCTGTCCCTGTACAAGAGGCCGACAAGGTCGATCCCGATCAATTCGAGCCCGACAATTTCAAATGGGAGGACGCCCAGGGCCAGGTCCTGGTGTTGACCTACAGACAACTGGGGTCGATACTACAGGAGCAACGGCGGCAGCCCATACCGAGCATCAGGTTGATTGCTCACATGGGGTGTGGCGAATACACAGTCGAGATGCTGGCGACTTGTCTGCAGCTCCTCCGTTGGGCCGGGGAGTCCATGGAGATCTATACCGTCTCCAACCTGGAACAGTCCGTGTTTCTCGGAGCGGAGTCGATCCGCCTTGACGCGCTCGGCATCGACATGAGAAGGCGTCCAGAGCGGCGTTGGCTATCAGGTGACCGTCTACAGAGCGCGATCAACACCCTCGGCGAGCAAGCGGCCCTTTTCTTCCAAGCCAAAAGGGAAGAAGCCGAGTCTCAGGCCAGAGCAGAAGGCGACGCGGCTGAGCAGCTGAGTGGCGCGCACAGCAACCGAGCAGTGGTAGTCATGGACAAACTGGCCCTTGACGAGGCACTTGCCAGCGATGCCGTCCTCCAGGAAAGCAAGGCATACCTCGAGGCCATCGGTCTCGGGGCGATAGACGGCGAGGAGCTACTGACGCACATCTACTACGATGAGCACCACATGAAGCTGCTGCAGTTCGGCCAGGGGATGGGGTTCACCGGCACGGTGTCCAGAATCGGCACTGTGCTCGTCTGGCCCCTCAAGAGCGGCATCATCTTCGACACGCGCACGAGCCAGATGGTGTGGCGAAAGAACATTCTGCTGTCCAAGGCCGAGCTGCGGTACGCGGCTAGGTTCTCGGACGGGCCTGACCTTCCGGAGATTACGTACTTCCTCGAGGACAAGTCGTGGTACGACCAGCTGCCCGAGCTCACTCGGACCTCACCTGCATTCACCGGGGACCTCTCCACCCTCCTCCTGGAGCTGTGCCGTCAGGGATATCTCGACAGCACGCTCGAGCTGCCGATCGGGACCCCCGACGACCAGAACATGGTCCGAGAATACCTGTACCGGCTCAAAATGAAAGGCCTGCTCGCAGACGTGAAGAGACCGCCAGGCACGTACCGCCTGACCTCACTGGGCGACCAGGCGGCTTGGTGGTACCACGATGGCGGTGTTGGGAACCTCAACGTCGCCTGCTTGCTGGCTGCCGTCTCCGGGAGCATCTCTGACAACATGGCGCCGCGTGACAAGGCTCGCGCAGCCGCGGTCATGCGCCTGGCGGCTGTGCTTATGACACCCGGGTCGCCGCTCACTTCACCCATCGGTGACCTGCTCACGGTGCTGACAAACAACGACAGCCCTATGGAGCCGTTCCGGGAGGACCTGTCCACGTACGTCTCGGGCTTCGCAGCTCCTTACGCCCTACGAGGCCCAATCTGGGCCGCTGTTGGCATATGGAGCGCGCTCGCGGGTAAGATGGATATATTCGGGCTCACGCCAGACAAGGACCCACACTTGACTGCGTGTCAAGAGCTGTTGAGTATCAGGCTACACACCATGGTGGCAATCATTGAAAACTTTAAGTCGCTCCAGTCTGCGTGGGTTGACAAGCTCCGAGGGCCCTCACTCGAGTTTGAGCCCCAGCTCGGCCGGGAGGACGTCCTGCTTGTCGAGAAGGCTCTGGTGCGGGCGTGGATGCACAACCTGGCGTTCGTGCCGGTCTCAATGCACCAAGACGGGACCCAGATGGCCTTTGCCTACGATGTCGTGTCCGGCTGCCCTATCCGCCGCCAGGACAAGGACTTTGTGTTCTGGGGACATCTCCAGAACACCGAGGACGGCGCGCCCCTGGACAGCAGCGAGGACTTTGCAGGGGTGTGTGCAATCTACACGCACCTACAGCAAGATGTCGAGCCCGGTGATGGTGGCGGATTCCGCTACACCCCAGACAACCTGACCTTTGTGTCCATGAGGGCCGTCAGGCAGGTCTTGAGAGACGTGGCGCGCCCTCTATACCGTGAGGTTCCGGGCCAGAAACCGCTCAACTGGCAGCAGATCCTGCGGACACAGTACCGGCTGCACCAGGAACGGTGAAATCTGGCTGGATGCCGTCGTGGAGGAGGCGGACTGGGGTTGATCACGGAGGAATACGTCTCGTAGCACCATACGACTAATTGAAAATGATCACAAGTCTCACTTTGATGAATGCTTTTCGTTAACTGACCTGCGTGTGCCCGTATCGCCCACAGCCTCAACAGCTGACCAGAACAGATGAGAAGATCAACACAAAGTCGTGCGGAGGGCTACGGCACTTCACGATTACAGAGACAAGTCGACGAGGCTAGAGCATGAGTCACAACATCACATACACACAATCACTGGAACACAAACAGGTAAGGAAGACGATTCAATTCATTTTCATCTCCCTATTTATCAGCGTCCTTCATGGCCGCATCCTCCTGGCCAGTGCCACTCGCAGAACCATCAACATTTTCTGGTCCTGCACCTGTGGCGCCAGGCTTATCGGGAAGAGGAACGCCCAGCGATGCTTGTTCAACTGGAGCTCCATCGCCCAGCCCGCCGAGGCTGTCCGTCCCTGTAGCAGGCATGTTACTAACTTCCTGCTCGAAAGCCTGGGTGTCGAGTTTCCAAGCATTCACAGCATGTGTGAGATTTTCGACAGGTTCGGGCACAGGCTTGGGCTGGGAGGGAATGACGGATTCCAACAGCTTCTGTTGATTATCCATTAACTCCGCCATCCTGGAAATTGACCGCTCCAATTGTGCGATGCGTTCTCGATCCGCGTTCTGCACAACTTGCGCTTGGCTGGCGGCAACCTTCTGGGCTTTAGGCTCGGATGGCCGGTCGCTGGCCTTGAACACCTGCGATGCCGTGCGTCCATTTTCCCATTCTATCCTGAGGCCGCTGAAGTTAGACTCGTCATCAGCAAAGCCACTCGGGAGGGTGTTGATGTCTGCCAGCCTGTAGTTGTAGGTTCGCCACGGGAGTGGCTTCTTCTCCGCCTGGCCTTCCTGGGCGACCGAAGCACCCACGCCTTTGTCGCTAGGTGCAGGGTCCCAGGTCTGAAGTACGTGCAGAGCGAACTGCTTCGTCCACGGGAGCTTGCCCTGCAATTGCGGAGGCGCTGCACCCTCGTAGAAGCGACTCGAGAACTCCATGAGGATGTCAATCCAGTCAAAACACCTGGAGCGCAATGGCGGCTTCCGGAGTCTCTCGGTGACCATGGTCTCCATGAGCCACGCGATGTCATTGTCTCCGAGGCGACCGACCAATTCCCTTGAAAGCCTCGACCTCCCATCTACGCCAAGGTCTGCGAGGATGGTGACAACCAGAGGACACCCATCGAGCTGGTGCCAGTCCGGCTTGTCAGGGTTGTCCAAGGTGAGACAGCGGGTGCAGGCAGGGATGTCCCCGTGAATGCTGTTGGGTGGCCCCACGCAGACATTGACATGATGGTCTGATCCCTTACAGTTGGGACAGAACTTGCCCTTTGGCTCCTCGGCGCCCGCATACTGAGCATCAATCTCAGTACCGCGAGTTGGCTTGCTCGGCCGAGACCTGCTGGAACTTGAGCAGATGCTCATGCCCTGGCTCGACTCCGAGGAGGCAAGACCTCGCACCGTGCTCAGAGAAGGCAATGACCTGCCCCGTGCTCCAGGGGGGGGCATGTTCTTCATCAAAGACACGATCTCAGCGTTGGGGCCGCCGATGGACTTGTGGTAATTGAGCTGCTGCAGCAGCGTCTTTTCCTTCTTCTTGCCCCCGAGCCTCGCAAGCGTGACGTTCCTGTTATTGGTCTGCACGATGTAATTTTTGGCCTCGGGCTGCGAGTGGAGCTTGATGTCCCTCATCTTGACGTCCGGGTCTCGCGTGTATTCCTTGACGTCAGAGATATTTGTCGTGAAGGCCGCCTTCTTGTTGGGGCGGAACGACGACTCGCTGTCGCTGTCGAAGTCCCTGTCCCGCTTCCTCGACCTTGGAGGAAAATCCCTCCCGAAGATGCTGTCGGCCGTACCAGGCCCGGAGTTTCCAGTCTGGTACTGCCCAGAATTCCAGGCGCGGGTGTTCCAACCAGGGTAAAAACCAGAACCAGGGCCGCTGTTCATGAAGGACTGTTCTTGTCCCGGTGAGGAAAGCCCAGACCAGCGAGAATCAGGAAGTGTCTTCCACGTATTGGGCTGGTAAGCAGCTAAAGCTCCCGCAACGGCCGCGGGCCCTTGCACGCCTCCATGAGGGTTGATTGTGCTGGGCTGGCCAAACGAAAACTCTCCTGTGTTGGGCTGGCCAAACACAAAATGCCTAGTACTAGCCGCGCCTCCACTGCCATTGCCAGTGGTGCTGGTGTTCCTGTTGCTGCTGCTGATGCTGGACGCGCTGGCCTGCCCAGATTGGGCGGTATCGCGCTTCTTGTCCTCCTTGCCATTCTTGTCCTTTTTGCTGCCACTAGGGTCAGCCGAATGTGTCGAGCTCGTCATCTTGAGAAAAAGAGAATATTGATTTTGAATCAATAGATGAAAGAGCCTAAACACGAATCACAGAAGTTAGCCTTGTGATGCGTCCGTGGTGGCGCTGGGTGGGTTGTACTTACGGTTCTTGGGTGTCGGGTGTGAAGGTTCGAAATCAACATTCGCAGGTGGTCACTTGGGACTTTTGACTACGTGCGGCGCCAGCTACCCCGCAGCCTGGAGCTCTGGTTGAAAACACTGAATTTACGGCCCTAGTTCCAGGGCAAATCTACAGCTAGCTACCCAGCGGATGCCCATCATCCCATGTCTTTGTCCTAAGGCCAGCCTTCGCCGTGGTACGCACGCCCAAAGCCATCGCGTGGGGACTCTTGCTTTCTTTTCATTGACAACCGTGGGTCTTGAGGAATTTAGCCACTCAAGAAATGAATCTCTCCATATCAGACAGCCCAGGCCGTCCAACGAAAGCAATGATTGTATCTACACACTCCCTCACCGCGTAGTCGCGAATGTGGTGATCAACAGAAGGAGAGGCGATTTGCACCTATTTCTGGCGCTGGAAATTGCCTTACTGCGTGGAAAGACTCTGTGTTCTATCTATTTTTGTCTCGATAATGCTGATGTGTCTGACTCCGCCCCAATGACAGCCAGCGCTCCAGGTTGAGCATTGTTGAACTTGTATCCTGACACGCTTGGTAAGGGCAGGGAGGTCCTCTAGGTTGCCAACTACTCACTTTCCCAAGGCATGAGGACACTTGGAGGTTAATGAAAAACTATGAATCAATCCAGCAGCTGTCTTCTTCCAAAATGTGATCTCAAGCACATTGAAAACCTCGCTTGCAATGAACCTCAGCCTTGTCGCATCGAGCTGCTTGGACCTCACATACTTTGTCTCATCAGAATTTCCATAGCCACAGAGATACTCAGTAAAATTAGAATATCGGGAGTCTCCGTGAGGTGTAGCTTCTCGTGGTAGTATCTGCCTTTCGTTGTGTTCTTTGGAATACCAACTTTCCAACTTGCATGTCGTTGTTGTTGTTGTTGCTGTTACGTAAGCAAGGTCAAGTAGTTCCGCAGTTGTGATTGGCTGCCTCGCGGCGAGGCGCGCAATCCCCCAAAACATACTACTTGAAAATGGCCCCCACCCCCAGATCCAAACCTCTTGTTTTTTTGTCTCGACAACAGCAGATCAACGTCTCTCGAAAACCACCGCGATCATTACAAGCAGTTGTTTTCATTACCTACCGTTTTCTTCTTCGTCTACATTGAGTAGACGAACTTTTACAGTTTCGAAGATGGCAGACGAACGTCCGCCGTCGTCATTCGACTTAGTCAGTGATGCATCCAAGGCTAGGCACGAGGCAATCTTGGACAAGACCCGCCAGATGCTCAAGGCTCTCAAGTTGTATACGCCGGATCAGGCGAATATCGGGGTACAAAATATTTTGTCCCAGGTACACAACCAGATCATGCATGCGGCCATGGGGGGCAAGCAGCCCATCTCAGCCGAGAGCTATGCATGGCAGAGTGACAATGGCATTTGGTCAATGACTGGTAAGTCCAAGACTATCTAGTTGACCACCGAGAACCTTTGAACGTCGCGCAACTAACAGTATTGTTTTCCTCCCCCCTCACAGCTCAGGCTTGCAACTTTACGGTGCCGCCAGAGTTCCCCTACAACTCCGAGGGAATCTATGGGAACACTGAGCCGTATGCACCAGAGGTGCTTGCAGTGTTGGCTCTCGCCGAGCCGCCAGCCACAGCAAAGCCTGTGGTTGTCCCAACTCGGCCTCCTACTGCACGTGCTAGTATTCAAGCCCGGTCCCCGTCGCCGACCCGGTCCCCGTCGCCCGCCTCGTCGCCTTTGCTGCCGCCTCGCCGGAATCGGCTCGTTCCTCTGGACTCGCCTGGAGAGGGTCCTTCACGGCCGCCTCGCCGGAGTCGGTTCAGTCCTCTGGGCTCGCCTGGAGTGGGTCCTTCACGCAGTGGCGGCTCTGGCTTGGCCATTGATGCTTTATCAGAGGATGCCTTTGGGCTAGGACCGAGCGGTTTGGCAGAAAGTGATGCCTTTGTCACCAGCCCGGCTCTTCGACCCAGGGAGTCATCAAGGTCGCCGTCCTTGTCTTCACTTCATGTGGAGCCTGGCCCGGGTTCACCACCACGTCCCCAATCGGAGTATATGCCAACTCCATATCCGGGCGACTGGTCAAAAGACAGCATTGACGCTGGCGATAATTTGATTCGTCAAAGGAGACTTGAGCAAGATGCAAAGGGCAAGGCCACAGCTCAGGCCCTAGGGCTCTCCGCAGACGAGTACTGGTCCGAGCACATAGCGCCAAAGATCACGGAAAAGTATACCTACAAGAAGAGGGAAACACCCCTTCCCGAGGGCTTCCGCAGTTGGTCGCACTCAGATGACGGAGATGACGGAGATGACGGGAATATCTCTCTTGAGGAGGCTAAGGCGATGGACGCAGATTTCCGGAAGAAGGCAGGGCTTCCCCCAGCGGCTCAGAGTATCCCGTTCTTCACCGTGAGGGCACGGAACGATGCGCTTGCGGCCGAGGATCAGCAAAAGATCCGAGACGCAACAGTGCCCGTCCGCCCGCCGGTCGCGTTGCCCAAGACCATCGGGGCATCCGCCGGGTCTACGGCCCCCCGCCGGCCAGTGCGGGAAGATCTTCCTGAGAACACGCGTGATCGGGTGCTGACGCTCAAGGAGCGCCAACTGATATGGGACCGTTATTTTGAGAATTGCCCAATGCAGGTGCAGGGCGACGATGCTGGCATCCATGCCACAGAGCCACTCCAGCTGCAGATCCCACGTCAGAAGAGATTCCGTCTCCTCGGCGAAAGAGTCAGCGACTCTCAAGGAAGGGTGTGGAACGAAGGATTCGAAAAGCTGAGGTTTGCCTTGCACCCAGCCATCGAAATCGTGTTCCAGGACCCGTCGGACAAGAAGTTCCCGTACATCCTCCTGTACATCGGCATAAGATCATTCCACAAGGTCGAGCCATTGGCGATCTCGACTGTGATGGGCCTTCGGCTGACATGGGCTGGACTCCTCGCATGGGCACTGGAGGTAAATGACAACTGGCAGGTCGATGCGCACGACATGTTTTCCGAGTTCTGTCGCCGCAAGTCCAATGCGCTCTTGCCTAGCTGTCAGGACATTCAGTCGATCCAGGACAGCTGGGCAGAGGTCCTCAGCAAGAGCAGGTACCAACAGAACGCGCCCAAGGAAAGGCCAGTCCCCAAAGGCCCGACTCCAGAACAGCTTGCACAGCGCAAGCGAGACAAGGAGGCCTTGGACGAACGAAGGGCATTCGTTCGGAGTGCCCGTCAGCAAGCCGAAAAGGCCGAAGAGGACCGTATTCGTTCTGAAATCCAGGAGATGCTGGAGCAGGCAGATCGAAGCTTCCGCCTCGAGTCTTTCTTTCCGAGGCTGGACATTATTGCCAGCAGCGGCGATGCTTCTCGCCGGGTCGTCATGGTAGCCCGCCAGTGCAATGCATGGGCGGAGGACAGGCTGGACGCACAGTCGAGGGGGAAATTTATCACCGCCGTAGCAAGCTGGGCATTTGGCTTCAACCGCGCCGCCAAGGGCGATGATTGAAGTCTCGGAAAACTTGAACAGGCAACAGAACAAGATGGCCGGGCCCCAGACGCAACCGACCCCCCCTGATACGACAGTTGGCGAAACCGTCACCGGGGGAGGGCGGCATATGCGCTCGGCCGTGCTTGTCTTCATATCTTGGTCTGGCTCCGTGGGAATCTCATCCATGAAGTGCTGGACCACAAGTCGATCACGCGCTTACTTGGAGGCGACGCGAGATATCTATCATTGTATATGGGGTGCATTGAAGTTAAGTGTCTTTCAAAGAGAGGCAGCTGGCGAGATCCTCAGAGCACTTTCTTGCTCGGCAATCAACATGATTCTGAGCGTATTCTCCGTGATGTTGCGGGTGCGCCAGACTACATGCACAGCCGGAACGTGGTCCACAGAGCCCTATGGACCCCTTGCGCCTTCGCTGCCAAGGTTTGTTCTACATAGATGAATAATGAATAAATGTTCATGGTGCATATGAGTCTTGGTTCCAATTGTGTTTATTGTAGTCCAGAATTTGCGTGACATGTGTTTTGTAGCCCGGCCTCCGTGGAACTTCAGCCAGCCGTGTCTGTATAGTCTGCTTGAGTAGTAAGAATCTAGTTACATGAGTCTCGTCGTAGATGGAAGTCTCGTTACAGCTTTCATGTCCTCACCAGCTGTGGGCAACTCCTTGGTCGCAGTGGACATCTGGCACGCAGCCTGAGCTGCCCTGGTGAGGAGGGGACAGCCTGACGGTCACAGGGGAACGTTCGAGCTGTAGCTATGATTTCTTGGTGCAGGGAAGGCAGGAAAAGAAGAGAGAAAGGGGGAGAGGGGAGGGGGGAGGGGAGAAAAGGCAAAGGGAGGATGAAGCCTACTGGAAGTTTCCGCCATAAAGCACCACCATCCCTCACCATCGAGCTTTTTTGAGAGCTTCTTCCTACAACCACCCCCAAACCACCACCTCAAAGCCTACTTTTCAAATCTACAAACAATCAACCAACGCATTCTCGTGCCTCTTATTTGAAAGACATTTTCAAATAAGCAAGAAGATATGAACGAGCAGCAGCGCCGTGCTCCACAGGAGCCGCTTCCATCAGAAAGTCGTCGTCGGTCGCTGATCGCGACAACAAGGCGTGACAGGATCTTGCGCGACGCGCTTGAGGCCTGCGGTCTTCCTTTGGCCGACCGTCCCCTGGGGCGTAGGCAGTTGGAATTGGAATACCAGCGGCACAATTGGTCCGCCTGGTACTTCCTCATCTGTCAGGCGCGCATCTCACCTCCTCTGGTGAACGTGGACTTTTTCTTCGCCGTGGTCGACGCCCTGGTGTGGCGCGCATGGTGTAAGTATCGTGTGTTCTTTTGGCTTTGCTGGTTTTTCACTGCGCTATTCTCTCCTCTCTGAGACCATACACTGACTCTTGCTCCAATCTAGTTGACGACCGCCGCTACCCAGAGAGCTGGCGAAGGACCTTTCCCCGTCGACCCAGCTGGCAAGAAGGCCCTCTTGTCCGACCAGACCCAGGCTGGAACCCGATTGGAGTCCGGGTTAACTCTCCCGACTGGTTGTGGGCGACTGTCATGTCGGCCGACGACACAGGGATGATGTTGGCCTCGTCGGGTCCCGCGATCATGACGCTGAGGCCGTACCCGTGGACAAATGCCCACCACGTGGATCTGTTTACCGGCGTCCGCGTGCAGGCCTTCGCGGACATGAGACGCAGGCTGGACGAATCTGGAGCCTCCTTCGTGGCTTCAGACGTGCCTCTGACAGACCTGCCAGATCCTGGCGCCTCATCTGCACCACAAGAGTTGTTGGACTTGTCGAATCAAGTGACTCGTCTGCAACTTAGTGCTGATGCTCAGGCTGAGCAAGAGCCGGAGCGTGAGGCTGAGCGTGAGGCTGAACCTGAGCCTGAGCCTGAGCCTGAGCCTGAGCCTGAGCCTGAGCCTATAGACTTAGCAATGGAGATGCAAAATCTCGAGGTCATGGATGCTGACACGATAGATTCGATCATCCGACGTCTATCACGTTCAGGAATCTGACGCATCCACTATCCGAAACAAGTGTGTAGGACTGGAAAACCGTGGAAGCACGGACAGACTTAAGTCAAGTGGCACACCAAAAGTGGTCGAGGACAAGGTAGCCTCGACCACCCCCACACCGACAGTCTGCTAAGCTTCCTCCATTGTTCACAGACATGGTGGACCTGCTCTTCCCCAGGCCCGGACACCTGAGACACAACGGGCACCGGATCTGGCGCCAATGCAGGAACCAGCACTGGCTTCGGTCAGAGCACCTTGATCGACTGCAGCTGGCACAACGGGCACCGGATCTGGCGCCACTGCAGGAACCAGCACTGGCTTTGGTCAGACCAACTCGGCCTTGGACCGCTACGTCACTGTGCGGGTCTTGTGTCCAATGTAGGAGGTCGTCTCTCTGTCTCAAAGATTGTACGGGAGGCGCATCACTGCAGAGTTAGATTATCGTGTCACTTCGTTAATAGAACTTGATTTGGCTCGTCTACGTGTTCCCCAGTGACCATTCATGTTTGCAAAGGTGTGATGTATTAAATTATCTACCGTAGGCTGCCTCCGTGGTGTTGACCACCTTGACTCGTGACATGGCCAGACTATTCTCTGGCATGAGTGAAGATGATTCCCTCAGGTTCCGCCAATCTCTGTTCTTTTATCTTTTAGGCCCATAGATTGCGAGACCTGATTACCTTCGTATGCCATCTAGAGCCATCAGCGTCAACGGCCATCGTGCCTCCAATCCCTGCGCAGGTTTGTGTCAAGGTTATTGGGATAGGTCGGCCTGTATTGCTGACCACGAGAGGATCTTCCACTTCGTGACCGGTGCGCATCTGAGCGAGGAGACGGGGGCCGGATTGGAGGCGGAGCAGACTGTTGGTCTCGCCGCGGACGTGACGACCGCCGGTCGCTGTCCTCGTCACGATCACCGTGCAGCTCCTGCTGGTAGCTGTGGCCCTGCTGGGAGCCGCCCCTTGATTTCCTCTTCTTACTCTTTGATTTTGACTTTTGCTCAGCAGCCTGCTCCGGCGGACGCCTTTCGCTTGGAGGCTGTCCATCAGTCGCAGGTGCCTGTTTCTGTTGAGCCGCCTTGCTGGCCATGGGGCCACCAGGGTCTCTCTGGTGCTGGCCAGGGTGCTTTGGAGGCTGCGAAGGAGGTAGAAATGTCGGCAGATACCGGCGAGGTAGACGCCGCGTGGGCGCCACGCCGGCCTCGGGGACCTCGCCCTCGTCCTCTGAATCGTCCACAGCCCCGTCTGATATTTCAGCAAACCACTCCTGGTCGATCTTCAGGGCCCGGTCGAAGCGATCGTGCCACCCAGCATCTGGCTCTGGCATGACGGGCTCAGATGGCCGGTCTCTGATGTGTCCTGTGGTCTTGTGATAGAACAAGGCAAAAGGCTGGCCGACGGGGAGGGGGTCAGACAGCTTGAAGCCCCAGCTCTCCCGGCCGGGCAGGGCGCGGGACTGGAACGGCATGCATTCAACGCCATTCAGGTCGAACAGCCGGATCGTGTCTGCGTGTACCGCAGTGTGGTCGCTCCGGAGCCGTACTGCCGCGATGAGGACGTACGAGTGCGGCTCCTGGGCGCTGTCAGCTCCCTGGGCTCCCTGCCCCGGGATCTGAACCGTGAAGCGGTAGGCACGGTCGATGCTCAAATTTGTGCCCTCGCCAGCCGTCACGTTCACCTGGATAACCCGTGGCGCATTGAACAGTGCCAGTAAGCGGATGCCTTTTTCCCAGGGGGTGATTATCGCCAGGTGGGCTTGCACGAAGGACTCCATCGACGATGCGGCCTCGTCTGGACCCCAAACCAGCAGGCCTTGCTGTGCTCGGCCATCTGGCTTGCTGATTGCCTGTTTTGGCTCGATCCAATCGGTCGACCCTGCCAGGCTGAAGTACAGAGGCTGGTAGAGCTGGAACTTCTCGTCTTCCCAGAGTATCTTCCCCATCACCCTGCCACGGCGGAGGGCCTCGAAGCTGGAGTCATTCTTCTCCCGAAGTTCAGGGGCCAGCTCCTCCTGCATCGAGCGCAGGGCGTCGTTGAATGCAACACCGATTGGATCTGTGTCATCACGGTGCTGGTTAAAGTCGGCCCAGAGGAAACTCAGCACAGCCCTGTGCGCTGTGTCCTTATCGATCGCTGGCCACTCTTCCTCAGGAAGATACGAACAGATGTGGCGGTACAGCGCGCAGAGGCACGCCAGCCCCGACGTGACACGACGGTTGGCAGCAGGCTGGAATGGGTCATAACACCAATTGGACTGTAGATGAGCTGCCACACGGCGAGCATCATTGCAGGTTTGTCGAATATCTGGTAGAGCAGACATGGTGGTTGTTTGTTGTTGTCAGCGGGGTTGAGGATGAAGGTTGTGATTCTTCGATGAAAACGGCCACAAATCCTACAGGACATTTTAAAAATACAAAACATTGTTAAATTAAATATTAATATATAAATAAAATTATTTATACCTATTTATATATATAAATACTATAAAATAATTTTTATTTATATATATAATTTTAAATTTTAATATTAATATATAAATAAAAAATATTTTATAGTATTTATATATATAAATAAATAATATATATATTTATTTATATATTAATTTTTTTTTAAATATTTTATAATAAAATAAAAATTAAAATAAAATTAAAATATTAAAAATTATATTTATATATATATATATATATATATTATATTATTAATTTAATTTATATATATAAATAATATAAAATTAATTTTATTTATATATTAAATAAAGTTTAATTTTAAACTATATAAATAAATTTAATTATATTTATTTATATATTTAATAAAATTAATTATTTAATTTATATATTTTAAATATAAATATAAATTAAAATATATTATTTATATATTATAATATATTTTAAAAGTTTTATTAATATTAAAATATATAAATATAAATACTTTAATACTATTTATATATATAAATAAATATAATAAAATTATATTTCTATATATTAATAAATAAAAAAAACTTTTATTTATATTTTAATTTTAATTTTTATTTTAATATATAAATAAAAATAAATATAATTTATTTATATATATAAATAAATAAGAAATATATTTATTTATATATTAAAATTAATATTAAATTTAATATATAAATAAATATATTTTTTATATTTTTTATATATATAA